TGGTCTGGTGTTCTTGCACCATGGAGGTGAGTCCCCAGTGATCCCACTCTCTGTAGTGCCTCAAAGGAGGAGAAATATGTTTCTAATGACACACAGTTTAAGCTTGGACCAGGGAGAGCCATGTCTGGCCACCTCTCCGGGTGAAGCTTTTCTTCAGGTTGCCTGGATCTGCCTCATAAGTGAGCCTTGCAGTTTCCTTTCTGCCTGAGGCCCCAGAGACCCCAGAGCTGCTATAAACATCAGGTAATCAATAGTCAAGGCGTTTTCCCTCCTCCTCTTCCATGACCTGCCTCCTTCGAGCTGCTGCTCGAAGCTCTTGCCGCCTCACTCCAGCAAGTCTGTTGTTCTGTTCTAAACCTTCTAGCACCCTTCTCTATGAGGTACCATCTCAACTGACCCCCACCCCCTAGCTGGGTCCCTGATCATCCATCCTCAGGCACAAGCTGAGCTGAGGGAGTCACTGCTTCAGGAAGCAGTCTTCTTTAATCCCCTCAGCTGGTGCTTGGAAGCTGGCAGTGCAGTAGCTCCTGTCTTTGCCTGCTTAGCCATGTGGGTGAGGTGAAGCCCCAGGGACCCTAACAGCCAGACCCCAGGCAAGCTAATTTCCAAATGCAGATACAGTAAACGCCATCCATGTATATTTATTTGGTGACTAGAGACCAGATGTTGAGCCATTTTTGGGCCCTGTCTGTGACAGGTCATGAAGAGAAGGCAGGACGCCCAACAGAAGGATGCTGGTTTTGCCTCACATGGTTGACTTTCCCTGCCCCAGAGTTAACACAAGTAATCGTGGACACTGTGCATAGCATATCTTTGCTTTTTGAACTACTCTAGGCAGGCTCCAGCAACGTGGCCTCCACGTCCCGGAAAGGGAAATAATTGCACCAGGAGAGGGGCTGTGGATGGACCCAGTCACACAAGCTGGTCAGTGGAGAGCTGGGTCATCTGGTCTCCATGGCTCTTTCCTCTACAGCACACCTGGGTTTCAGAGCCACGCTCCCTCTTGCTATTCTGAGCAGCTCCAGACAAAGTTTTATTCTTTCTGCCGTCCTTGCATCCTGCCATCTCCTCCTGTGCAGTGAGAACCTCCAGGCTGCTGCATCTCCAGGCCCCTGCTTGGTCAAGCTGACGTGGGCCACCCTTGCAGGGGCAGTGAGCTAATTTTCAATATTCCAATTAGTAGTACCTTCACTTTTCTTCAGAGAGAATCTTCTGGAATCCCTGACCTAGTAATAGCAAAGAGGCTTCCCAAGTTTCTTAAGCCATCTCTGCTGTAAGTCATGTCTATGTTTAAAAATTCATTTGTTTCTACATTTATTCATTCCACACTATGAAGCCTGTGAAGTGTCAGGTACTTATTTGAGACAGATATTGCTTCTATTTTAAGTTGTCAATTATAGGTAAATTCTCCACTGGAAACTCGCCTCAGTATCATATTGTCCCTTCAGTCAAAAAGTTGTTCTTTATCTCTGACTGTTCCCTCTTGCTACCATTCCAATTCCATCTCACTTTTATGTAGTTTGTCACTCATCCATCTGAATTCTTCCAAGCACTACATCATTTGATCTGCATGATGGCCCTGTGAGGTGGATATTAGCACTTTCATTTGACAGCTGGGAAAGCTGCAGATTGATTTGTGCCCATTTTGGGGTAGAGGCAGGCCTCCTTCCTGAGGTTTCCTAAGTCTATCTGAAATCCTACCACTCTGAGCAGCGCCCTCAGCAGGTGCCAGCAGGTACTGCTGCAGGTAGGGAGGGGGGCTGTGCAGCCTGGCAGGCTTGTGAGGAGGCGGCGTCTGAGCATGACCCCCAGCCTGCTGGAGTACCTGTCCTCTCTCTCTCATCTTGGCATTGCTGCCCCCACCACCTTTGGCACCCAGTGCCCTTCTACTTACTGATACTTTTCAAGGTCACCCTAGTTCCTGTGGCTTTCTTAGCCCTTATCACAATCTATAATTACCGCGTTTATTTGGTTCTTTTTTCTTATCTGTCTAGCTCTCTCCACTTCCCTGAATATCAATCTTGTTAATGCTATATCCCCAGCTCCTAGCACAGAGCCCAGCATGTGACAGGCTCTCAATAACTAGTTATTGACAGGACAAAAAGGAAGGAAAGAAAGAAGGAAACAGAATTCGGGGGGGGGGGGGGAGGGCTGTACTTTACCTAGACTCCTGCCTTTCCCCTCCTATCTTAGATCAGAATTTACCCATCTATGGGCCTTGTGTTAGAAGGATCCAGGAGACTTGGGTTCCTATCCCAACTCTGCTTCATAATTAGCTATTTATTTAACCTAAGCCTCAGCACCATCCTTTATTTATTTATTTATTTATTTTTATTTATTTATTTATTTTAGCTGAGCTATCCTGCTACCTGTTGGCAGCTCAGTGGCAACTCAGCTCGGGCCGGGACTCAAACTGCTGTTGCTCAGAGCTCAAACTCTTGAGCGAGCTCTTAACCCACTGAGCCACTTGGCCGACCCCATCCTTTTTAAAACAGAGATTGTTACACTTATTTCACGGGGTCACCATGAGGATGAAATGAAATACTTTCTGCAAAGCCCCTACCTATTTCTGATACATGGAAGACATTCAATAAGTGTCTTTTCCTTTGCCTTTGTAGTAATTTCAACCCTTTAGCCCCAATCCTGTAAAGTAAAATCAAACCCCGCCATATGCCCCCAACCATATATGAGTGGTGATCTACTTGGCTGGCATGAGGGCCTTTCAGAAAATACACCACCAGCCTTCCATCTGTGCCAAAGAAAGTCACATTGAAAGGGATACATTTTAATGAGTTTCTTGCAATAATTAAACTGAAGGTGGACACATTTCACACCAGTTGAAATTATAGTCGGCTGCATTCTAACATTCCAGCTCTGTGAACTCGGATCAATAACTTGGCTTTACTGATCTTTAGTTTTCTCCTCTACACAATGGGAGTAATTATGATGTTGTCTCTGTCAGACAGTAGTTATAACCTTTGGGTTTGCACGTGGAGAGTGCCTGGACCATAGTAATATTCATAAATGTTAGTTAAAGTTGATCCTTAAAAACTACCCTCAGATTAATCAGATTGAAGAAAACTTTGTGGAATATTCATTAATTGCCAGTTGTTTTTATATGTCTTGCCTCCTTTCATCTTCAAATAACACTGACAGATATACCCACTTCCCGTTTTTCATTCATTCATCAATTCACTAATCAGTAAACACTAACCGTAACCAGTGTTAGCCATATGCTATGGTATTGATGGCTAATCGTCAATAAATATGGTGATGTGTAGTTGACTTATTCAGCTGCACTCTCTGTCACCTATTAGTGTTGTTTGCATTTATGAACTCACCACATCTAGTTTTCACACCATCACCGGACATTTATTTCGTTGTTAGTTGGGTGAACAAGTAAAAAATGTGTTCAACTGCAACTTCTCTCTTTCTCAAGGTTTCAATTAAAGTAGTGGGTGGTTGTGGCCCTTAACAGAGCTAAGGTTGGCCTGAATTAAACAAAAGAAATATTAAATAAGTTGTACTAAGTGCTAAGAAGGAAAAATAGAGGGCCTTAGGAAAAATTTTTTAGAGTAGGAATTTCACTCCAAGATGACTGCACCCAGAGGTGGGAGGTGTGCCTCTCACATCCGCCCACTGGTCATGGGACCTGAACACTTGCCACCAGCTCTTAGAGAAAGGATCAGGTTGGGTGTCCATCACCAAGCCCTGTGCTCCAGCTGCCTCTTGATCTGGAAGGCTGGTCATGCTAACCTCAGAGGAAATTCAATTGGGTTGCTGCAATTGGATCTTCATGGTCTAATCTAATCTTATAATTTTATGAGCAATCTTTTTCTTTCTGATCCTCAGCCTTTTGTCCCCTTTGTTTGTTTTTCTCTGGCAGCCAGATCAACAAAGACTTCTCCCTCTGGGCTTCATGTATGCAAAAATACCCCTTAAGGTCTGCTTTAAAACAGCTCAGAGCCTGCTGTCCTCCCTCTCCCAGAGGTTCTGGTGGGAAAACCTTCTTGATGACTCAAGGGGGACAGGTATAAGGTTGCAGAGAATCCTTTCCAAGGCCTGGCATCTCCCAGGCAGGACTAGACATCCTTCCCTGCATTTCCTCTGTAGCTCGTGAAGGTACTTCCGAGGTTGTCCTCCGGTCTGGAGGGAGAACCAGCTGCCGGCTCAAACCCAGACCTGGGAGTTAAAATTATTCCCCAAATGTCAACCCAGCCTTTGGCTGTCTCTTCATCAGGGCTCCTCAGCCCAGCTAAGCAAGGAAGGAAGCTGACATTGTTGAGTTTTCCCTCTGCTAGACTCTCTGCTGGGTGTTCTGACACAGGATCCAGTCTCAGCATTGTGAAACAGGTAGTATTCTTATCTCTATTTGGATGGAGAACTCGCAGGTTCAGAGAAGCAAAGCAATTTATTCTGTTGACAAGTGGAAAGAGTTGAGTTTAAAGCCAGGTGTATACCATTTTACAGCCTATCCCTCTCTACCTTCAGGACACCTGTTAAACCCCATCTTGGCTTTGCCAACCCCTGTGCTGCCTAGAGGACAGACCTCATCACCCTCCAGGTGCTAGGAAGCCAGCATTTCAGTCAGTGCTAAGGCCAGTTGTCCATCTCTTCGCAGTTCCTGGTGGTCTTTCCAACTTCTCATCCCCATATGACTTAATGCTGCTCAGGGATCCTTAGCAAGATGGACCATGCCAGACCTAAAATGCTGTGGGGGAAAAACCCATCGCTGAAAATGGGTACAGTTATTGGGAGTGTGGAAGGACAAGAAAAGTGACAATTTAGGTCTGGGCAGAGCAGTAGCAAGACACACACACACACACATGCGCACACACACGCACACACATGCACACACACATAGACGCACGCACACACACACACACACACACACACACACACACACACACAAGCAAGCATAAACAACTCACAATGAGCTCCAGGGTCTTTATTGCTCATTAGCTTTTCTTAGTGACTTTTCCTTTCTTGTTGTTTTCCAGGTTAATCGATTACATTGGGAAATTAACTCTGTAGAAACGCAGGTGGTCAGCTCAGTCACGCACCAGTCAGCAGCAGAGCTGGAATTCAAGTCAGACTCTGGACCACGTGTTTCAAGGCCAGAGACAGCCGGGCGCCTGCACGCATTCCCCAGGTAGACTTCCTCGTTTCCTTTCAGAGGAATTAGTGTTCAGAAGAGGACAGGACTATACTTTAGTTTCTGCTCCCAAACTATTAGCTATTTATGATAATCAGTAAGATCCAGGTCTAGTCCTGATGGTGTGTCGTCACACAGTCATTTTGACTTATGTTAATCCAGATGAGTATTTTTTTTAAGGTAGGCAACTGAAATTAGAGAGGGGGTGGCCTGGTGCATTCTTTCTTGCTCTTGATAGTAGTCTTTGCTCAGGAAGCACACAAGGAACACCCAACCCTGCCTTTGAGAAAGGGGCCAGCCTGTGGGAACACAGAGTGGGTGGTTTTCTTTCGTCCCATAAGAGGCCGTGAATATGGACTCCACATTCTGCCCAGCTGTCACTCAAGGAAGCAGTGAAGACCTGCCTACCCATCCCAATCATGCTTGAGTGCCCATCTCTCTCCTTTGTGCATGGGGCAGAGGAAAGAAATGATATGGGGGGATGTGGGACAAAGAAGACTTTGAATGGTCCTGTGGGATTTTGGCTTATCTGTGAGGTAGTGAGGAGACTCCAGAGAGGACTGTTTCAATAAGAATTGGATGATTAACGCCACTGACTCCAGGAAGAGAACAAGGGCTGTGGACAAGGAACAAAATGCTATGAAAAAAATTAAAATTTAAAAATGTACTGAGAGAAGGAGAGAGGAAGAAAATGAAATTGAGCTCCCATGAGAGCATGAGAGAGAATGAGTGAGTGAGAGAATGAGAGAGAGTGAGCAGTGAGGCAGGGGCTGTGGTGCAGCAGTGTGGGGCCAAGGACACGTGAATTCCCCCTCCCCCATCTCTGAGGTATCCCGTCAGATGGTCCAAGTCTGTAGGCCTGCCATTCTTGGGGAAACTGTAGACTTTGCTTCCAAGAACATGACTTTAGCCCAACCTTCGGCCCTGGAAGGTGTGAGGGGCGAGGGGGCAGAGCTGAGATGGTGCTTTACTCTGGTGCTGCCAGCTGTGCACTGTTCTCAGTCCTGTGGCGCTCAGGTGAGGGTGGATGGGTGGGAACTTCCCATGCTCTGCTCACCGGCTCCACCTGGACAGGTGGGGAAGAAGAATCTACCCCATAGATGCCAGGAGAAGAGATGTTTCTCCATATGCTAGCTGACTTTCTGTTAAAGAGTGAGGATATGCAGAAAAATGCCTCCTGTACCCCCACGCATTTGTGACCATGACAATAATTTTAATGGTGTTGCCTCCAGAATCACAGTGACCAGTTACTACAGAGGGAGGTAACAAGTTCTGCTGAGGGCCCGACCAGGACCTAGAGCTGTGCTTGTGGCTGGTGCTGGAGGAAGAAGTAGAAAGAAAAGAGGAAGAAATGAGGACTAAGAAATGAAGAAGGGGGGTGAGGACTGGAGTGGGAGTTTGCTGAGTCCCTTCTAGGCAACAGGCACTTGACATGTGTATTTTTTCTGTACCAGCTTTATGGAGTTATGATTCCCATGTCATACAATCCACCCATCTAAATGCACAATAATGGTTATTTAGTATATTCACAAAGTTGTACAACAACCATCATTACAATCAATATTAGTATATTTTCATCACCTCAAAAAGAAACATCGCATCCATTAGCAGTCATTTCCCATTTCCTACATCCTGGCAACTATCAATCTAACTTTCTTTCTCTATAGATTTGCCTATTATAGACATTTGTATAAATGGAATAACGCAATATCTTGCTTTTTTTTCACTTAGCACGTTTTCAAGTTTCTTGCACATTGAGCATGTATCAGTATTCTTTTTTATGACCAAATAATATCCCACTGTATGTATATGCCATATTTTATTTTTTGGTTGACATTTGGGCAGTTTCCACTTTTTGGCTATTTCTGAGTAGATAATGCTGCTACAAACATTTGTGTATAAGCTTTTGTGTGAACATTTTTGTGTGTATGTTTTCCATTTAATCTTCCTAACAAGTAAACATTAGCATCACCAATTTATTATGAAAAACTGCAGGTCAGAGAGGCCAAGTGACCTTTTTGAATTGGAAAAGCTTCTTTTGATTTGATTATTATAGAAGGGCAAATAAGAGGAAATAAAGTAGAACTTAACTTCACCTTTTCCAGGTCATTATACACACCACTGAGTAAAAAGAAACGAAAGGAATGAGAGAAAGTGCGTCAGCAGGTCTGCTGTAGGCTCCACTGACCTCTGTCAGGAGCTGGGTCTCAGTGAGGTTCCATGTGCTTTTCTGTTCTGGTGTGTGGCTCCAAGGGCTGGGACTTGCCCCTTTATCCAGCTCACCCTCCTTGTTTCAGTGGCAGACACGAGAATTGGTCAAGGGCAGCTCACGACAATTGCTGGAGTAGCTCATCGTCCTTGTGAGGAGCCAGGTGGGAAGTCTCTGAAGCAGGGTCCCCATTCTGAGAGGGCTCCCTAGCATGGGCTCTGCCCGGCGTCAAGCAGTGTCCCCACCAGCCGAGAGAAGAATCCAGCTTGGGCCCAAGAGCAACTCTATGGCATGGGACAACAGGGTGACCGAGGCTGCTGGCTCTGCTTCCTTCTGCCTCCAGGGCTTTCCCAGAAAGCTCTTGGACATGGGAGGGTGGGTGACGTGCCGCCCCATTAATGCAACTGTGATGGCTCGGCAGAATGCAAGCCAAAGCTGGTAATCATTGACCCTCAGAAGCTCCCCAGGGCAGAGCAATAGAACCAACAGGAACTAATCCATTGCCCCGTGGTTTATCCTGAAACCGTGCCCTTCTCAGGACCTTTCTGGGAAGCATGATACTATTGCAGCCTGGACACAGGTGCAGAGAAGCCCAGAATGAAAGGCATCACAGGTAATGGTACAACTGCATCTTGCAATCAGTGCCCGGCTGGAACTTGAAGAAGAAATGAGAACTGAAGGTGGTATTACTGAAGGTGTTAATAACGTGATCATTTTCCATGACTAAGTGTTGTCTAAGCTCTTTCTACCCATCTATAAGATAAAAATGAATGTCCCCATTTTTCAGGTAAGGACGTGGACACATTGAGAGGTTATGTAGTACTCAGTGTTAGAGCTAGCAAGTGGCTGACTCCAGATTCAAACCACCATACCCACTTCTTAAATCCTTCCTGGTAGGCCACTTGATGGGGCTGTGACAGGGAAACTTCAAACATAAGCTAGAATGTGGGACCAGAAGGCATCACATCCAGAATCCCCTCCAAACTCCAGAACACGATGGTATGTGCCTACTGCTTTGCACATCAACCAGAGCAGGGCTACACAGACACTCATCTCTTTAGCTGTGGACACAGCATCATGAATCCTAGTTTCCTAATGCCTATATTCAAAGCATTAGCTGAATTATTCTCGTATTTTATAAGTTGCCAAAGTTTGGAGTTCTATATGTGTTCTTAAAAACAAAGTGTACTTGTTGCAGACACACAGGAAAAACTATGTTCAGGGCCTCCAGTCCACATGGAATTTATTCATTTCTAGGCTGGAAAGACTGAGTTGATGTAATAATAACCCAAGCCACAGAGAGCTAGAAGGGTCAGACTAATACCAGGCTCTCTGCACACATAATAAATACAACTTTCTGTAAACATTAAATTTTTTTTATTATACTCCAGTTCCTTTTGAGGTGGATGGCTCAATAGATGAGATTTCAGAATCGTTTCATGACAGATGTATCTATCTAGTTTTCAGAAAAACAAACTTTCCCCCAACACACTTTTACAAGGTAAGCAAGGGAGAGGATAATTATTTTATTTACAAACACTATCCTTCACTTTATAAAGTAATTCAGTAAAGGATTCCTTTAAACATCTAACATCTTAATGTAATATGACTTACTGTGTGCAAGCCATTTCTGTTCACATATCATCTTTTGAGGACACTATATATTGTTTCCAGTCTAAGATTATATATCTAGACATATACAATGATATTTTCAATGTAATGGAGTTATTTTAAAATATGGATGAGAATAAAGGCCATCTGACTAGAAAAGCCATTGGATCATTGTGTTAATTTGATTTGCAGTTCTAAGTTCATCAGAAACTAGAATTCACCAGCTAAGAGAATGACCCTCAGGAGGTCTGGCCTGAGTGCACATAGAGGTCTGGAAACTTGACTTAGAGTCAGAATCCACTGGAGGCAGAACTTACCCTTCTAAGAACGCTTTCCTGCATAGAAGGGTCCCATCTGTTCTGGGACAGACTGAAATATCACACAGAATTCTGTAGGGACCTGTCCTCTCTTTCCAGACAGCAGCTACGTTTGTTGTGTTTCACTAGGTATTTTCCCAACTATGCTTTCACCCCAATCTGAGTCCTAACAAAGGCATTTTGGCAATTTCAAGCCCAACAAGGGGAATTCCAAATCCAGCAGCTCCTGTTGGCCACTCCAAGTTTCATTCATATGAGGTCGGACAATTAAGTTTGCGAACTTGTAGCAACCATGTTGCTAACCTTTTCTGATATCAGAGGGATTATTCCTTATGAATTTGTACCAACTGGACAGTTAACCAAGGTCACTATTTGGAAGTGCTGAAAAGGTTGCTTGAGAAAGTTAGATGACCTGATCATTTTGCCAACAATTCATGGCTCTTGCATCACAACAATGCACCAGCTCATATGGTATTGTTTGTGAGGAAGTTTTTGGCCAGGAAACAAATAAATGTATTGGAATACCCTCCCTACTCACCTTATCTGGCCCCCAATGACTTCTTTCTTTACCCAAAGATAAAGGAAATATTGAAAGGAAGACATCTTGATGACATTCAGGACATTAAGGGTAATACAATGACAGTTCTGATGGTCATTTCAGAAAAAAGTTCCAAAATTGCTTTGAAGGGTGGACTAGGTGCTGGCGTCGGTGCATGGCTTCCCGAGGGGGGTACTTCAAAGGTGACCATAGTGATATTTAGCAATGAGGTATGTAGCATTTTTTCTAGGATGAGTTCACGAACTTAATTGTCAGACCTCATATATGAAGCTTGGAAAATCATCTCCTGTACTTCTTCAGA